TTAACTCCATCCTAGCAAAACCAGGACAGTTAGTAAGTTCTAGAAAGTGCATTCAGGGGACACCTGAGTGCTGCTGAGAGCAGTACAGGTACAGTGTGCTGCTCTGCCCATCTGGTCTCAGCAACCAGTGCCAAGATCGAGGACAGAGTGAGTGGCTGTGAGTTGTGAGACTACAGGGGGTATGTTGTGTTGTGCAAAAGGCACACAATAAACTGGCAAATTTAACTGTTTAGAATGAGCATTAATTGATATACTATGAGGACCTGTCTTTACCATCAAGACATATCATCACCTACTACAGTTCTAATTTCAGCTATGGAAAAGGACAGAGAAGCCTGTCCCTGATTAAAACTATGTCATTCTCCAGCAAAGCTAAGTAGGACTTTAAAATATCTACATGACACATACTTACTAATCTAAATACATTGTGCTGACCTCCCAACACGTCAGCAAGATCTCCTAAGAGTTCTTGCTAGAGGAATGGCCATGTTGCTCTGGAAGTATCTTACAGGCGATATTACAGGCTTCCCAGGGAGGGTGTGGAGTCTCCTTCTCTGGAGACATTCAAGACCCGCCTGGACACCTTCCTGTGTGATCTCATCTAAGTGTTCCTGCTCTAGTAGGGGGATTGGACTTGATGATCTTTCGAGGTCCCTTCCAATCCCCAACATTCTGTGATTCTGTGATATTGATCCTTGGGCTGTGGCTACTGACTGTCATTGTCTGACTCATGCTTCCAAACCATTAAATCAGATGGATTTCTCCCTCACCTGTTGAAATCATGCCTAATACAACTATCTCTTAATTTTAGGCATGGGCCTCTGCACTGTGTTCTAATGAATGAATTCTCAACATATTCCTTCTTTGCTCTTCCTCATATAATTCTGGGCTTCATCACCTCTTACTGAACCTTGCTTCCTCCTCCATCCATTAATGAACACAAAGGGAATTTTCAAGTTCTCTACGCTTTGAAAAATCTGTTCCCCAGAAAAAATGACTGGGATACCACTCTTGATTGCATGAAAAGGGTAAACTTTGCAGGATGCTCAGGAAGTTGAGCAAAGTGATCTTTGTGATTCTCCCTTTCCCTCTGCTCTTAAAATGTGGTGATGCTTGTCTCAGTCTGCTTGCATAACTGAGCAAAACAACTTTAAGAACTAAAAGAAGATTTAAAAAAATTAAATAAATACTGGGTTACTTTGTCACCAGAGTTTTGTAGTTCCAAAACTTTTGAAAACATGGCCAAAATTCCTTGCGGGGGCTACAATACAAGCACATTGAGATACATTTTAGTCCTTCCTCTGTTTTTATGGTCCACTTGTGGGCAATTTAGCAGTGCCCTCATGAATCATAATTTGGGAACAAGTGGCTTAACTGCATCTATCAATGAATGTCTACTTGAATAAGGAAGCCACAAGTGGTGTTTAACTGCACAGAGAGTCCAATCTGGCCTGTGGCATGAAGTATTTTGGAATGTTTACTTCAGGAATACTGGTATATTCCTCTTACCCTCTTGTCAGTTCTTAGTTATCCTGAGATAAGTCATTTCTGTGCCATGCTTTCCAGCTGATGCCTTAGGATCCCTGTGCTCAAGGATTTTGCACTACCTGTAGTATCCCAGTCTGACATTTCTATAGATAATGCAGAGCTGACTCTGCTTACACTTTGTTTGCTTTGGTTTTGAAGGCCACCTGAATAGTGGACTGCTGGACTTCCTCCTGTTTGGCAGCTTAATTGCTGCTGTGGATCCTGTAGCTGTTCTGGCAGTCTTTGAAGAAGTCCATGTCAATGAAGTTCTTTTCATCATTGTTTTTGGAGAATCACTTCTGAACGATGCTGTAACTGTGGTAAGTAAATTCTATATCCTAAAGTCACCCAAACTCTAGACGGTTTCTTCCAAAGTATATTTTCCCCTTAACTGAAATACTGGATCATCTGCATGTGTCTACTCCTGGGCTGGTGTAGCGTAGGTCGTGGTGTTCTCTGGCTTGCTTACAAACACTGTATTACAAAGTTTAAATGTTTGAGCATGAAAGCTATTTGGAGCCTGTAAGTCACAAAAAAATATGCAGTCCTGGGTTGCTTGAGCATAAAAGCATTTAAAATGAAGTTTCAAGTGTGCGTGTTTTATTTGCCTTTGCTGTTTCAGTAGGGCTTTCATGACACTGAAATTAGTTCCAGGGATTTGAAGCCCTTTCTTTGCTGTTGTTTTTTAATGCACATACTCTTTTCTTCATATTTCTGTTATGCCCACGATTTATAAGCATACCTCTGTTACACAGAGTGAGAGAGAGAACACTTGCCAAAGTGCTTATGCCTGTTCCCTCTCTTTTACTTAAATCAGATGGTTTTCAAACAGATGTATAATAACAAAGAGCCAATTAGAGGAAAAACTGTGGGCCACTTTAGAAAGTTTCTGGTTTGGTTTGGGTTTTTTTGGTAACATGCTAATCTCTGGCTTTTTTTCTTTCACAAAGAAAAGAAAAACTTAATAGACTTTAATAGACTTAAAAGAACCCCAAATTTCAAGCAATGTTTTTATTTTGATTGAAACAGCTTTCTTTTCATACACAATTTTTCGCAGAATAAAATAGTCAATCGTTTTCTAGTACAGTGCTAGTGGGTAGGGAAGTCCCATGGCAGAAAGATGCTATGCAACTGAGTTGTTATAGAGCTTCAATTCCTTTCTTGGATCATTTCCTGTTCCTGCATATCTCCAAAGGAGGATAAGACATACTCCCCAGGCTCAGTGATGTAATTTTTTGCAACCAAGGCAGCAAGGTCACTTGGCAGCAGCCTAACTGTTCACTTTTCAGTTTGAAAAATGCCTTTTGGGGCCTCCAGAGAAACCTAATTGCCTTTAGGTATCAGTCTCATCAGTACTTTTGGGGTGTTACTAGAAAAAAATATTAAAATAAACCCTTGATGAACTCGAGTATTGACATCAGCAGCTTTCAGAAAGAAAGGAGTTTTTGTTACTGTTAAATTAAGATGAACACTCACCACGTAAATAAAAGACAGTTTGATTATTTGTTGGAGAAAATCTGGAAGAGAAGAGTAAGCATGATCTAGGGTCAGCAAATACAGCCTGTGAGAAAGTTTGAAACAACTGAAGTTCTTACCTTGAAAAAGGAAAGCCTGGAGGACAGAAGAAAGTCGATGGTGTAGCATTCTTTACATGCAGATATGAAAAAGACTACTGTTACAGAACAAAGTGACCTGTATGCCCTGACTGGGGTAAATATGATAAGAATTCACAAGCTTAACTGCAACCAGGAAAGCCAAGAGAGCCATAGTAAGGTTCTCCCATCCCTGGAGGAATGAAGAGTAGATTAGACAGGCAAGTGTCAAGAATGATGCTTGCACAAACCTCCTTAGGCAGGGGTATGGATAAGATGAATTCTTTCAGCGCTGCGAGACAATTATTTTAAAAGCTTTAGTGCAATTATTATAGTTTATTCTCTTCTATATTCAACTTATTTTACATATGTTCAATGTATTTCAATCCAGTATTTTATTATTAGCATCTTATTATCCTATTAAGTATTTTCTTTATCTTATACAGGTGATTAAATAAATCCACCAAATACCTGGATTTTAGAGTGAGAAGTGCTTTAGGAAACACACCTAGATGTAACAATGCTTCTTAGAGACAGAAATCAAATTGAAATAAGAAATGGGAAGTTGGGGATTTTTTTTAAATTTTTGTTTCTTCTTGCTCCACTACATTTTTGTCCATTTTGAAAAAATTCAAAAATCTTCTCACTCCACACAGAATTTCCCTCAGTCATACCTAATTTCAGAATTAATAATGTTAGGGCCATAATGAGATTCTTTTAATAGGATTAATTCAGGAGCAAATATTAAGTTAGTCTACTTTTCTTTTCAGGTGCTGTACAATGTGTTTGAATCTTTTGTTACAATAGGTCCAGAGAATGTGACGGGGATTGAATGTGTCAAAGGCATAGGTGCGTAGAATTGAATTGCGTATCACATAATTGATGTACATATGCAGACTTTTAAACAAAACATTATTATTGTGCTATTAGTAACTGTTATTTTCATCCTTTTCCCTTGTCACTTATGTTCCCACACTCCTGTGGCATGGATGAATATCTTTAAGAAAAATATTAAGTGAATATTCCCGAATACGTGGGAAACTTAAATCAGATTTGTTTTTTTCTGAGGACAGTCAGCAGCAGATGTGGAGTTCAGTTGTTAAGACCATCAAACTTGACAGCTATATATATATTTTTTCTTTGGTTTTAATAAAATATTCTTAGTTTCAGCCTGTGCTCTCCCTGCATTCCAGGAAAATTGAGATTGCATATGGGCTTTCTCACTCCTTATCACTGATTGTCATCCAGTAACACTTGCCAGTGACTATCAAGAAATGTTATTTACATAAAAATTTAGTCATTATTGCCCATTCCAAGCATGACATGATACTACATTATCTTACAAATCAATGTTTCAACAGTGACTTTGGCATATTCTGTAATACAGAACATGAAGAAAAAAATGTTCAGAGAAATGTCCTGGGTTTTGAATAAGCCTAAAATGATGAGACTCAACAGAAAGTAACCTTGTTTTTTTCTACAGAATGCTGCACTCACATACCAAGTGCTCAAAAACAATTAATGGTGCATTTTAGAAATAATTTCTGATGTTTCCTCCAAAATTTTCTCTGATATGCTGACCACACAATAGAAGAGAACTTTTTCAAACCATTACGTTTCTACTGTTTTAAGCTGTGCGTGGTTTTGTTTTTCAGTGTCGTTCTTTGTGGTGAGCCTGGGTGGGACACTGGTTGGCATTTTCTTTGCGTTCCTGCTCTCACTGGTCAGTCGTTTCACCAAGCATGTGAGAATCATTGAACCTGGATTTGTGTTTATCATTTCCTACCTGTCCTACCTCACAGCGGAGATGCTTTCTCTTTCCGCTATCCTTGCGTAAGTATTTTCTCCTTACTGCCTGGGAAGGGGCTGAGAAGGGAACATGGTTTTTAAAAACATTGAAAAGAAAGACCTAAGCTATATAGGACAGGTACAGGATATGACACTCAGGAAGCTTATGCTATCTTCACACTGGAGTAGATTGCAGTTTGCAAATGTTGTCATTCAGCCTTGAAAAGGAATGCAAGCTTTCTAGTGTCTGCTCTGCAACCCGAGAGCTTCCTTTGCAAAATCAGAGACATGACTCTCTCCTCTTTGTGATTAATAATACTTCAATACCTAATAGTTGTCCATTTTTCTTGACATCTTTCCCTGTTAATTTGTAATTAATCCAATATTTTCCCAAGGCATTATATGAAGGTCCATTATTTGCTGTGCTCACTGTCTTAACTGGCCTGGTTGCCTAAATCTTGCCTGTTTTGGCTTGGGTACCTCTGTGGTCTTCCTTCTTTTAATATCCATTGATTCCTGGCATATCTTTCTTCTCAGTTTTGCTTGTCATGTTTGTAGATTCCTCAGTGAGTATATTCAAGATCTGAAAATCTTACTGCAAGCAGATCGTTAGTTTATGTCTAACGGAAGTAAGATTTAACATTTTGCATGTAAAGCAGTATGGTAAGCTGAAGAGAATTAAGGTTTGTTGCGATCTAATGAAACGCTACCTTCAGACCTCTTGGGGTCACCTCAGGTTGAATGCTTGAGATATGCTTTTTACCTAGATTAGACAACACAATGGCTCCTGAGTGTATTTTTTCTTAGGAATTAATAACGTGTTTTTATCACTATATGACAGACAAATGGAAATAATAGTAAATGTTACAACAAATATTTTCTGAACAATTACTTCTTTCCCCCCCCCCCCCCCCAGGATAACTTTCTGTGGCATCTGCTGTCAGAAATATGTCAAGGCTAACATATCTGAACAATCTTCTACAACTGTAAGATATACCATGAAAATGATGGCCAGTGGAGCAGAAACTATTATCTTCATGTTCCTGGGAATTTCAGCTGTAAATCCAGACATCTGGACGTGGAATACAGCTTTTATTTTGTTGACTCTGGTCTTCATCTCAGTATATAGAGTTATTGGTAAGGGGATGATCTTCTTCCTGTCTTTGCATTGTATTGTTGATGCAATCGCATTCTCTTCTCAGGGGGAAAGAAAAAAAAAAAAAAGATGTTTAGACTTTTAAAATATTAAATTTATTTTAGTTGCATTTATGGTTGGTTTTGGGTTAAGAGGGTAGATCTCTGCAGTAAGCTTCATCATATGCTGAAAGTATAGTAGGATTTCACTTTTGATGATGTGTGAGGATATGACTAGACCAGCAGTTAACACGAATCTAACCTTTGTTAACCCAGCACATGGTGTTGGCAAAATCTACGAGTGAAATGGACTTTGTTCTTTAACTTGCAGCTTAACAAAAGATGTGAGTCCTGTCAGCCATCTCTTTCCTTCAGGTCTTTCAATTTGGTAATAAAGAGATTGTCTTAAGCTAATTTTCTGGTTGACTTCGGGTTTGAGACACACAGTGATGTAAGACCATCCACAATTACCCCGCAGGTTCTCTGACTTACTTAAGAAATAATTCTCAGGGACTGGTGGAAAACTGAGTAAATAAGACTGTGTCAGGTAGGGATTACTTACTGTCAATTTACTGGGCTTATATAAGTTTGCAAACATTTCAAAATACCAACGACAACTTACCCAACTATGTAGTTCTACAATTTAATCACTGTTTTGTGAAATAGCAAAGGGGCTAAAATCACACACACAAAAAAAGCATAGAATGAAGGACTTCTAGAGGGTAACATGCATAGTGATTTGGTGTATGTACTTACATCTGGGAATAAATTAAACAGGTTTTTTTGCCTGTTTGTCTGGAATTAAATTCAAAGAAAAAGTAATGTATCTATCTAGCTGCCAGGTTTCCTAGACTCCATATTCTTATTCCATCTAGAGATTCCTGAGCTGAAGGAAGGGCCTAGCCCCATGTCCTCCTTTCTAAACAGTCTGTAACCATTGTTCATTTAGCCATCTCTCAGTAACTGCTGACATGCACGAGGTGTTTAAACAAGTTTTCAGTATCTTGACTTTGTCACTACTTGTATTCCTGGAATAAGTGGGTAACAATCCCGTAACGAGCGCGATCAATAATTAAATAGTAAATATTCAGCAATAACAATACGCATCCATTAAAGTAATTGAGCTTAGACATTGATAAATTACTAAAGACTTGATGATACTGGGCCTTACATAATTACAGCTCCCATACTCTCTCCTGTGCCAGGCTCAGGAGTGGGGAAGAATATTTTCCTTTTCCTTTTCCTTTTCCTTTTCCTCTCCTCTGGGAGACATTGTAATTCCTAGAGCTCTAGGTCTTCCACAGCAGGCAGCATCTCACCCATACAATGTCAGCAAAACTACACAACCCTCCATAAGACAATGACACAAATGTCATTTTTAGTGATTTGTAAAGAGTACCACCCTTACTCCCTAAATCAACACTGTTCCAACCAGTTTCTCCTTCTGTTCAAAGACCCTGTGCCTATCACTGGCTATGGTGCTGGAAATTCTGGTCTTTCTCAGCTGGGAATTCCAAAGGTCAGCACAGAGCAGTGGTGCCAAAACCAGAGCACAGCACTCTTGGAAGAGCTCCTGGGAGAAGCTTCACCTAATTCCTTTGGTTAAACGTAAAGGGGAAGGTACCAAGTGGACCTGCCCTCCTTGGCAGTGTAGCAACAGAGGGAGAAGTAGATGGTGTGGAGATTTTTTAATGAAAGCAGCCTGGTGGTACTGTTTCTGTTACGCACTGTTGGGATATTGATGTTTCATAAAGGTACTTGTAGACGTGCTGACATTTGTTTTTTATAGGTGTAGTTTTACAGACATGGATTCTTAACCACTACAGAATGGTCCAGTTGGAGATAATAGACCAAGTGGTAATGTCATATGGTGGACTACGTGGAGCGGTTGCTTTTGCTCTGGTTGTACTTCTGGATGGGAACAAAGTGAGAGACAAAAACCTGTTTGTCAGCACAACTATCATTGTTGTGTTTTTCACTGTTATTTTCCAGGTAATTCAACTTTTTAAGCATGCTTCTTGCAAGGAGAAGGAGTCCCCAAAAGTACTGAATGCTTAAAGCAGTTCTGAGCTGAAGGTTGCCTATTGTTTCACTGAACTGAAAGCATAATTGAATTTGTAATTTTAGTAACAAGGATCCTATTTTATGTTTTCATAAGGCACCACAAGGGACAAAACACAATTTCCTCTGTGCTAAAAAATGTTCCGTCTTAGCTGCTTGGTATTAATAGTGCTCAAGTTAATATCTGATTAAACATCCTTCACCTCATGTGAATAACTATAGGGAACAGTCCTTTTTATGGGTAAATACAGTCATGAAGCTGATCTACCTAAGCCTAAGTCCCTGTTTTAAAATATAACAGTAAGCAGGGGGACAAGAAAGTATTTAGCATCCAGACAAACCAGCACTTTCTGGATGGAAAAAACAACATTAATTTAAATGGATATGTCAATATATACCAGCTTGGATTTTTTTCTCACATTCATTGGGGAATGTTTAATTGTGTTCACAAACTTCTGATACATATAGAAAATCACAGAATGATAGAATGGTTTGGATTGGAAGGGACCTTAAAGCTCATCCAGTTCCAACCGCCCTGCCATCAGCAGGGACACCTTCCACTAGACCAGGTTGCTAAAATACCTCATTCAATGGTTTAGGAAACACTTTAACCCTTCCACTATCATATTTTTCTTATAGAATATACATTTTTCCACTGGTTAGTGTCTTTTCAGAACTTTGTAACAGGAGATGCATTATTTTATCTTCTGAAGGGGACAGAGATCAACTGAGGAAGTATGAGAATCGCCATGTAACATACCAAAATGCTGTATTTCAGTGATCAGCTGGCAGGAAGTCTAAGATAATTCCTAACCATTTATTATCATGTCTCAATCCTTAGGGACTGACTATCAAGCCTTTGGTACAATGGCTGAAAGTGAAGAAAACTGAACACAGAGAGCCAAAACTGAATGAGAAACTTCATGGCAGAGTAAGATATTTTTAAACAAAACTATGGTATCTTTTGTATTTTTATAGAGTGCCTTAAGATGAAAAAAAAAAAAAATTACAGAAAAATTTCTTTTTTGAAGGGAGGGGAGAATCATATTTCAAGTGCAAAATCCTTCAAATATGTCAAAAGTTACCTATAGGCAGTAATTTGTCTTTGGGTTGAGTCGTAAGAAGGGGGATAGTCAAACGGAGGTTCTGGTCTTTCACTTAAGAATTCAATGGGGCTGGAGAAACAGCATGACTGGAATATGCTTCTTTCTCTTCACCTAAAAGAGGAGGACGTGATTAGGGCAAAGCATCTGGAACAAAGTTTATTTTTCCATCTTAAATATTGTTTATTTACAGAAAAGATATGAACGCAGGCTTTGTAGTTTGAGTATTACATAGAAAGGTAGTCTACTGCCCAGCACAGATATTAATGATATGCTGAAATTCCAGGTTAATAGTAATAGTTTTAGTTCAGTGTTAATGCTGTGTGTACCTGTGTTTCTTTAACCTTTTAAAAGATTTTGAAACATGATCTCTTCCAATTCACTTTCACTCAACATCACAAAGTTTTCATTCAGTAAAAGAAAACTTACATTTTTGAGAGAAATATAGGTTAAAGTACAGAAGATTAGAAGACGTCTATCATGGCCTTCTTTAATTCATACACTTTTCAGATTTATGCAGCTATCTTGCAGTGAGTATTTTAACACGTTCTTGTATGAGCTTCTAATCCTGTCTGTTTTCCTGTTGGAAGATACCTGAAGTGAATCAACAACTTCAGTGACGGACAGGGTTTGTTTCTCAGGAATTCTTTGACAGACTACAGAATAAATACTTTATGCTTTTGTTATCCAATAATTCAAATTGCCATTCCATCCAAACATTTTAGTATTTGAAAATCAGGATTCTTCCCTCAGGTGAAAAAAAGACAGTGTGTCTGCATTTAGGGGGTGCACCCTTACGTGACAGTCAGTAGTGCAGGCTGATTTTTGCAGTCTGAGCAGGAATGTTAATCCTAACGCTTTGAAAAGTTCTTTGTACTGATTCAACACTTCCTAGAATATTCTAGCACATTTTGTTTCAGGAGACACAGTGCTCCTAGACCTGTATAAACTGCAGCCTTCAGAGAGAGGCAGCACTGTCTGTTCTCAAGGAGTAGGAGGGAGACAACTTATAGAAATAAGTTTCTCCACTCCCATGTCAGATATCTCCTGAGGCAGTAATTAATATATTCAGGAATAACCCATATCACCCACAGTTGTTCTAAACTGTGCATGCTGTAGATTCTGCGGTAATCCCCACTCCACTGTTCAGAGTGAAATGTTAACAACTATGTACAGAAAAAGACCAAATTCTACCTGCAGCTGCCTTGGTTTGAATCATAGAATCATAGAATGGTTTGGGTCGGAAGGGACCTTAAAGATCATCCAGTTCCAACCCCACATCGTTATACACCTTAGGATTTCTATCAGCCATCCAGTATACCCAGGATGGGATTTTGCCCTAGATATCAAAAGAACAGTGCCTACTCCTGCTCTGAGGGAAGCGTGGATTCCTCAAAAGTCTAACAAGAAACACTGGAGAAATTTTGTAACTTATTTAATCACCAACACTAACAGTGGCTGATGTTCTTCATAGGGTAGAAATGGAGATGGTAAAATGAGTTGATAAAAAGAATTTTAAAATCTAACGTTAAAATAGGGGTGTAAGTACCTTTTGAGACACTTGTAGTTCAAGAATAGTTAGTGAATTTGTAAAGGACTGGTTAGAAAGCTCAGGACCTTTAAATAAAAATATATAGTAGTTAGTATTTCTGTAAATGGGACATAGAGCTATTTTCTAATTATGCCTTTTATTTCTGTAAAGATATTAATTCCACTTTCACTTTCCTAGGCCTTTGATCACATTCTTTCTGCTATAGAAGACATTTCTGGACAAATAGGACATAATTATCTGAGAGACAAGTAAGTCATAACTAACTTGGATGTTGAAATACTGCTAGGAAATCTTATCTGTCAATTATGACTTCTTAAGCCTGTGAGTTTAAGGCCAGCAAGGATGTCAAATGTAGTTTAAAAGGTTGTATACTGAAAATACTGGCAATATAGCAAATAATTTATTTTTGTCCCCTACAATTGGAATCTCTTATTTTTCTTCCACAGTTCAGATCAGGCCTTTGCAAATGCCTCAGTTCACATCCAGGGATCAGCTTCTCTCAAGATTTGAGAACTGGCCATTTGCACAAGATTTAACCTAAAATGTTAATGTTGGTCCTCCTCTGTATTACTCCATTTCATGAATGTTATTGGTGTGTGGAGATGCTAAAAAAAGCTCAACTCTGACTGTGCTAGTTTATCCTATTTCTACAAAGGATGTGTTCAATGCCTCTGAAAGGGATGGCAGAGGGTGCTTTGAAAGGGCTCAGATAGTTTAAGCCTATTAGTTTGAAACTGATAATGAAAATTATGGATCATTTCCATCATCCTGTTTCTAGTTGATTCATCTCGAGAGAAGTAACATTGCTCAGCTGGAAGATACAGACACCCTTTTCTTTAAAGTACCCATGAAGAGTTACCATTGTGACGGGCAAATTTCCATAATCTAGATGAATAAACGTGAAAGAGGACATTAAATCTGGACATTTTTAGAGTGTTACTTAAGGTTAGGCAGTTCTTCTCTCCCTGGAGTTAGGTCATTTCATGTGTGCAGACAGTCACAGTTCTGACCTGCTCACATCCTGCTGACTCAACATGTCAGTCCCAATCCAAAAGCCGTGGGGTTGTGTTAGCTTTCTGCAGAGTACTCCCCTAACCTGTGCTGAGAAGCTGAGTATATTACCTTAGGTTTAGCATATGCTCATATAACTATACAACTAGCTGGGTTGTATCTGAGCTCAGGCAGAATTACTCACTGTCTGTACCCAGTTTTGGGGACTGTCTCCTTCATTTCCTTTTGCTCTTTGTTCCTTTATGCAGTGAAGAATTTTCATGAGGCATCCCAAATAGAACATCCTCTTTCTTTTGGTCTAAATTTTTAGTTTGGTTTTTGGGAATGAATTTCAGCAGGCTATAATACAGGGGAATATATGTCTCCAGTTTTGAAATACTGTCTTGAAGATGGAGCTAAATATTTTTAAAGTGGCAGTTTGACTTCTTAGATGTCAGAAAGTAATCTCCCTGAGTAACAGGAGAAAGAGTAGCTTAATGTAGATTCATGGTTGAGTGTGTGGTTTGATGACTAATGTATTTTGAATGAGACCACCTTAAGTCTGCTTCTTTTGGACTATCTGTACATGAAAGTGCTGCTTCCTCAAAGACATGGCAGCCCCGAGCATCCTCACTGACATGCTCAGGTGTGGCAGCCTGAATTAGAGGCTGCTTGTCAGATATTCTGGCTAGAGAAGAGGAAGAGTTATCGATTCTGTGAATAATGATTAGCAACAAAAAGGTTTCAACAATCTGAATAAAAAGTTGTAAACTCAAAATAGCCAATGGGCAAGATGGATAGAATCACTTTGAATAGTAGTCTCCGAAGCTGCCTCATGGCCTTTAGAGGGACTCTTGAGGAGGTAAAGTGAAGAAGCCTTTTTCTCCTGGAGCCTACGTATGAAATGGCAGATATCCTACTATCAGACAAGCTTGGAAGCATAAATCACAGAAAACACACATCACTTTTATCCCCCAAAGTACATCAATGGCATGAACCAGGCTCTCTGTAAGTGCTTGAGGAAGGGCACTGGTGTTGTGAACTGATTTTCTCGGCTGGCTGTCCTACAATACAGCTGGGTAAAAGCATGACTGCCTTCCAAAGGAGGAAAGAAAATTAAACTTTCAGAATGAAGCTATTAAATACAACAGTGCATAATCAGAAGTGGAAAGATGAGGTAGCATGATCTCCCAGAGTATAAAATGTCCTAGTGACTCTGAAATGGGATACTGTAATCATAGCACTCTTGCTGTTGTAGTGGTGTTTGGTAAGTGAACCTATTAACTGCTTTACAGCTGCCTAACTCTGTAGCAGGCTTTTCCTTGACTTTCCTTAAATGCTAACTGAAAAGCTTCAAAACACAAATCCCTCACATTGCTACGTCCACCGTTTCTTTGAAAGTGCTTAACTCGGGAAAATATCGTTTATGCTAAACTAAAAAAGCTGTGAACTAAAATAGCCTGTTGTCATTAACACAGTTTGTTTAAATTACCAGGTGGTCCAATTTTGATAGGAGATTCCTCAGTAAAATCCTGATGAGAAGGTCTGCTCAAAAGTCAAGAGACCAGATCCTTAACGTTTTCCATGAACTCAACTTGAAGGATGCAATTAGCTACGTGGCTGAGGTACTTATGAACAACTGTTGATAGATCATAGCATCACTTTTTTTTTTTTCCCTTTAAATTTATAATATAACTTAAAGTTTATACATTGCAGGAAATGTCTAAAATAAAACTATTTTCATTTCTGCTCTGATTTTTTTTTTTTTTCTAAATGTGTTTTGACCTTCAATATCACTTGTTTGAGTGGCTGGAGTTTTCAGTATTACTCCTAATCCCCAAGTATGAGTATATTGGATTTACATCAGTGAACTTTTCTGTTGGATTTTACTGAAAAAACTTTGTTTCTATATTCATTGCATGAAAAAATACTGTCATTCCAAAGGGATTAGGAAAACTACTGTCTTTCTAAATGTGTCAACAGAGTCTGGCTCCTGCAGAACAGGGGTGCTATGGGGTGACAAATCTGATTTGAGGAAGCTCTTTTCCACATGGTGTGGATATATGACCAAAGCATTTGACTGTGATAATCTCGTTCTGCCAGATCACACACAGTAATGCAAAAGAAATTGAGAAGTGTAACTTTAATTCAGTGGAATCATAACACCCACACTTCCAGAATTAGGGTTAAAGTGAGATACTACAGATATCAAACAATCACAGAATTGTGAAGTTAGAGAAACTTAAGACTTGCAACAGGAGAAATTTTTAATGTTAGGGAATGGAGGAAAGTTACTGGCCTTCTGCAGGAATACCTGGAGCAAAGTTAACAGATTGTAACAGATTGTGTAAGAATTCCTAATCTTTTTCAGTATGAAACTGGCCACCCCAGTTCAAATCACCACAAATATGCAATATTCATACAGTGTAGAGGATAGTTTTAAATGGAATATTTTAAACAGTGACCTTTGAAGTGATAATCTATGCCCGTAATCTCCAAGTGAACTCATTTTCACAGCTAGATGATATACCAGTTAATTAATTAAAATAAACACTATTTCTACAATTACTAGTTGATACACTATTGATACTACTACTAGTAATAATCCTCTTTTATTTTATTTTAAGATGAGCTACAGCCAGGCACAATTCTTCCAGCAAAACATGGAATTTCAAATATTGAATTCAGAAAATAAGATGAAATTAAAAAATTATATTAGTGTGAAAAATGGGGAGTAGGCTGATACTTCCTTTTGAGATTTTGTAAAGAAAATTGTCAGGATTATGCTGATTCAGCATTTATGGATTTTTTTCTTAAGTTTTCTGCCTAGAGAGGCCAGAGTGTACTTCTTAATGCCACTGACCTGATCTAACACATACTGTAGCATGTACGTGGGCTACCGCACTAAAAGGAAACATTTGTTTGATTTGCTCTATGAATATAAAAATCTAAGGGGGATAAAGTTGGAGAAATCTATTTCCATATTCTGCAAGGGATATGATTTTCCTTGGTGTATTCTTTATTACACTTTAAAATGTAGAGACCTGCTATGTGATTTCTCTCTGATGTGATTCAAATCCATAGATGGGTTCATCTTATGTAACCGTGATGTCACTCAACAGCCAATTTCCACCTAAGCAAGAGATTACACAAACAGTGGGGAAAACTGTGAAGACATAAATCTGAGCTTTTCTAGCAATTCACTTCTGTGACACCAGTTATAAAACTGAAAGCAAATCTCATCTCTTCAGTATCTCATCTCTTCATGCCATAACCTCTTTCAAATAGTCCTGTAGACTTCTACCACCACTTAACATATGCTGTTTCCAGTCTGGTAGAGAACAGAAAACTTCAGTGTTGTATCTTTGAAAACACTACTGATAGTTCAGTGATGTGTTGAGTCATAAAAACCTGCATAGGTATCCTTATGTATTTGGTTTGCAATGTGGTACAAAGTAAAAGGTCCATCCCTGAAAGGGTCATGAAGAGAAAGGAGTTAGGCTGTAAAAGTGCAAGGATATAATGTGCAAACAGATTGAGGCCTAAGAAATCACTCACCTCTTCAGAATCAATGTACAAGAGTGGAATAGTTTTTTCTCCTAGCCTTGTTCGCTGGGATAATGTCAGTCAACATAAAGAAACCATAAAACCAAAAAATGGTTTGTATTTGTGACCTGAATACAACTTCTCCCTTGCTTCTTGTGCCATCTGCATGCAGCAGCCTCACAAATTACCTGCCTTTTCTGATACATGTTCTGCCCTAGGTGTTTACAACTGTAATAATGTCTTGTTTCTTTCTGTGGCCAGGGAGAACGGAGAGGTTCCTTGGCATTTATACGTTCTCCAAGTACAGACAACATGGTAAATGTGGATTTCAGCACCCCGCGCCCAAGTACTGTGGAAAGCTCTGTCTCTTATTTACTGTAAGTAATGTGGAGTGATTGGGGGTGGGGTGTTGTGGGGTTTTCATGTTATACGTGAGGAAATGGAAACAGTGTTATAAATTTTGAAAAATACAAATTACAGGGGCTTCATTCACTACCTTTCTGAACTTCAATTAATATTTTCTCCCACGTAAAATAGGTAAGCATACAGTTATACTGCTGCATTTTACACACAAATTTCTGCAGTAAAGGTTGGTAAGATGAAGCAGACACATTAGAATTGTTTCACGCGCCTTTTGTTCAGCTGCTGTAGATGGCAAGATGTCTTTTCTCTAGCTGCTCCAGAAAAAGTCAGGAGAGAGGCAAGGAAAAAAAATTGCTCCTTCCTTAACTCCTTCACTGAACAGACTGTGTGTCATGTAAACTGAGAAATTAATGCCACACCCATCTGAAAAACAAAAAACAATAATCTTTTTCACATTTTCCATTAGTTATTTGCTCACTCATTTTCATTCAGCTGATTTTGACCTTTTTTTCTTTAAACTCCATTTCTCCCTCTCATTCCCCATTTTCCTGTTTGTTTGTTTGTTTGTTTTTTCCTCTTCAGTAATTGCTGATTTTTAAAACTTCTGTTTTTATGTTGTATTCTTCTTCAGGAGAGAAAAAGCTGGACCAGTTTGCCTTGACATGCAAGCTTTAGAGCAGAGGAGGAAAAGTATCCGGGACACAGAAGACATAGTCGCTCATCACACCCTGCAACAGTACCTGTATAAACCCAGGCAGGAGGTGAGAGCAGGCAGCTAGCATCGGTCTGTTTTCCAATCTAAAAGTAGGAGACATTAGGAACTAAAACTTGAGCAAAACTCAAAGAATCCATCTGCAAAATCTGCACCCTTGAAGAAGACAGGCTCTTTGTCTATAGTCTTTCTCATTTATGAACCTGCTCCTTTAACAGACACAGTGCCTTTGATTTCACTGGGGCCAGGGGAATGCAGAACTGTGTCCAATACAGGTCCTGCCTGAAGCAGGATTAAATGGAGTGAATCAGCTGAAGGGATTCAGACACTTATATGGAGAGGCTTACCTTGAATGTTAGTCTCTCTTATGTACTTCAAATTCCTGGACTTATATCTGCTTCATGGTGAAAAAAGAGAAAGAAAAACAAGAGTTTCATTAATTTAGTAATTTCATTAACTAGTCCTCAGACTAGTCTTTCTTCATTCTTTTTAATAGAACACATTTTTTATAGAATACATAATACATTTAATAGAATAATTGCCTGACACTGATTGAATGCATTGATTCAGAGCTTCCAGCTGTATTTCTAAACAAATAAATGAATATTGTCTTCCCTTCCTGCCCACAGCACAAACACCTGTACAGTCGGCATGAGATCATGCACAGTGAAGATGAGAAACAAGACAAGGAGATTTTCCACAGGACAATGAGGAAACGCTTAGAATCTTTCAAGACTACCAAACTAGGAATAAACCATCCCAAGAAGCTCAATAAAATCCACAAGCGAGACCGGGGCCAAAAAAGGGTAAAATACTTGCACAAGCACCCAGATGTAGCCACCTATTATACAAACTAAAGGGTGGGGAAGGCAAGGAGGACCCTGAGGGGTCCTATGTCCTGCATTTGTCTCTGTCCTATAGAACCTCATTAACTTAAAAGGGCCTAAGCAAGAAGAAATTAAACTGTGAGGTAACTCAAGAGGCATTTTCTCACATGCTGCTTTTCTTTATGCTTTCGGACCCTTCTGAGTGAGAGATTTTTTTGATCACTTGAAAAACAACAGACTTTGAGCCATGCTACAACACTGTGGAGAGATGTTGCAGGGTAGATGTAGCAGGGTGGCACTAAAGCATAGAGCATTTCATAAAATCTGCAGGAAACTAAGAGGGAATGCACAGCGTACGAAGAGCCAAAGTTCCTTTCTTTTCCTGTAATGAGTACGAGTGTAAGGGGGAAACCAATGACATCCATATTGAGTCTCAAGCAAAGATTACACCAGATTTCAGGGTTATCCTG